TCTGGCGCAGTTGTTATTCGCACAATCAACACCAGCAATAGAATTTTTTACCTCTCGTCTACCTTCTACACGAGAAATTAAAAAAAAAAAAAAAAGAGAACACTCGTATTGAAACCTGACCAGAGTGTAAATGCTAGGTTGTCGTACTCTATCGAGCACAGTAGGCTACCCTAAGGAAAATCGTATTACAAGGGAAACAGAAATTTTCAAAACGTTAATTGTGACTATATTAATAGCAAAATGATTTGAGAAAGAAATATAACATACTTTTTAGTTGTTAAATATTCTAAAATTTAAGCAGTCACGGAACTGCCGCCGAGAACAGAGGGGAGCCCAAGGAAAAAGAAGCCTACGGCAAAGGGGAAAAGTCCTGGAACCCGAGAAGCTTATGTGAGGGAGGGAATCTAGGACATCATCATCGTTTCGAAGGAAGCCTACTGTGCTCGGTACTGTACATCAAATAGTCAATTTTGGAACACAGAAAGTCTAACACAATTTGATGACATAAAAGCACCACCTATATCACATAAATTTAAAATTTAATTTTTCTTAAAATTCCAAAGTAAAATCATCATAAACAAGTATCTATCAATGGAAACATAAAATGTTTTATTACAACTACCTTTACAACTGCTTTAGTACAACTTTCAAGCATGTTCCCAAATCCGTAATAAACCTTATGTAACTATCTTTTCTAAAAAGAAGAAGACATGGCCAGAGATTTATCCAATAAACTGTAACGTCTGGGAAACGTTGCGAGCCGCGTTTTGACGTATGACGGTCATCGGTCGACCCTAATTCGAGAGCATACAGAGAGAGGCGAATGCAGAAGCATGGAAAACGGAGGAAGTTTCGTCAGCAACCCCCGGAGAATGCAGCCTACAAAGCGGTAGGTAGCTGCAGAAAGAGAAGCAAGCGGAAGGGAGCTGCACCGGGAGGGCAGGAAATTACGTCTCCGGACGTCCGTTCGTTCGGCTTCAGAGCCCTCTGCAACACAGGACTTAAGAGAAGCTGCCAGCTCCTTCACAGACCAAGGAAAAGGGACGCAAAGAGGGTTCTAGCAAGCAGGAATATAGAGAAAGAGAATCGCATAGAAGAGACTTGGCTCTTCGTCCCTGACCGGGAACAAGAAGAGGGAGGGCTCCGAAGGAAGACGAATGCGAAGGCTACTGAGAATCCTGACCTGTCTACACTTGCAAAATCACTGAAATTCCATGGAATTCCCTTTTCCTCCGTGTCAACAGAAAAACAAACTGCGAATAATACTTTTAAGTAATTTAATAATCCTTTCATTAATTTACTACACAAACCCACCAATCTATCTGTAATCTACATCAACTTTAACTGAAACTATAATAATTTACAAGTAACAAAATTTCTATTAATAATGAAAAGTATTCAGATCAAAAGAATCAGAGTTGTCAATGTATTAGTTTCAAAGTAGAACCTACTTATACTGTAATTTAATTTATTTTAAATTGAATAATTGCAAGTGTCTCTAACTTCCGACAAAACAAAACTTACACGTTACTTTCGCCCCCATTTTTCTGATCTCCGCAATCGTAGAAACGAGCTGATCCCTAAACCAACATCGGACTTCCATTAAAGTCGCAGAATCGGCTAAAACGATAATCAGCCGGTAGCAGACGCGAACGTAATGTTTACCCGCTCCTCGATTCGCACAGCCATAGTCAAAGAAAACTTCATTAGCTTTGAGCACTTACTTACTCCCCCCCATACCAAGCTTTGAATCAGTCTCAAGACACACTCAATCCATTTAGCATATAACGCATCCTGTGCTCGAAGGTACCTTCATCGAAATCAGGATCGTTCGTCAGTTTGGATCAAATGAATTCATCGTATCTACTGGCGAGTATTATCATCATCTAGCAGCATATATCCTAAATCATCCTGAATCTAATTCCAGCCTCGTGACGCGTTTCTGCGTAATGTCGTGGCGGATTTTCACGCAGATATACCTGCTGCTGTCGAGAAGGAAAGAGGGTACGACAGAAAAGGAGGGTAATAGGTTCCTTTTGAAATACATCCTCCGGTCGGTGATGCGGCACATACATCTTCTCGCGGTAATCAGCACCCTTCGGTTTAAAAGCAACGAAGGTAGGTAATATCCGGGGGCCATACACACGGATGCGAAAACCTTCTCGCCGCACCCTCTCTCCTCCACGCTTTCCACGCTGAAAACCACCACCCTCGTACCAGACACCCCACCGATCCGATGGATTGGGTTCCACGGATGTGTGCTGGTTTCTTTCCAAAGTAGGCGTAAGTGATCGGTACGGTATGGCGAAGAAAAATTGATGCGATGTCTTGCGAGTGTTTTAGAATAATAAATAAAAATTCTTCGTTCTTTGAATGATGGTGAAAGATTTTGGTATTCGCGTTAGGAAAGTGGTTAACCCCCTAATAGTTTCTTTTTTTAATATCTTCAATAAACCAAAATTACTTTTCTAATCTTGAACACATAAATGAAAATAAATAATTGTTTGGAAAAAGATCTACTTTGTCGTTCTAGGATTAAATTTATTTACTTTTTAAAAAGCTTGGAATATTTTGAAAATTCTTTTTAAAATAACATACTTTTAATATTTTTTAATTTTAGGGTCAACCGCCCCTATATTTCATTTTTCTATAATTAATTCATTTACTTTTTAAATAACTTGGAATATTTTAATTCGATCTCGATGTTTTTCTATTATTCCGTCCCGTTGTGAAAAACAATTTTTCAAAAAATTTGTAAGCATTGAAAAGGGAGTGAATAGAAACGATTATGACGTAAGGGACTAAATTGCATCGACATGACGCATTCAATTGGCGTAATACAGCAGAATTCACGAGCCGCTGCTCAGCCATGAAGCAACAAACTCCACCTGTCCACCCTTGTTCATCGTTTTCGCTTTTCACGAGCTGGCAGTCAAAATGAAAGAAAATACTGCTTCTCGTATATAACAGAGTTTACAGTGACGCAAGCTGTAAAAATTCTACCCCTGAATAAAATGCTTCGAAAAATGTCGGCTTTCAATAACACATGATACATTTATTTTATATTCATACATCTGTGGTGTCAATTTTTCTCGACATCTATGAATCAAACAACAGTTTATTTATCCTCCTTTTGTAAGAATAAAAAGAAAAATCAGAATTAAAAAGAGTTAATTTGAAAATTAATTTCTTTAAATCTTCAAACTTTAAAAGTTTAAATTTTTTTTAAATGATAAAGGTACCTATATTTCGTATAAATTTTAATATCACTTCAATGAACTAAATTTCAAAATGAAGTTAAAATTAATATCTCTTCGAGGTAAAAAGGATTTATCATTGATGAAATTTTTCAACGAAATTCTGGTTAATAATAAAATAGCTCGAGGGGTCGAATGAAACAAAATGTAAATTTGCGATACATGATAGTCGCTTCCTATCTCTTTCATAGACACCAGAATTTTCACGCCATTGAACCACCGCTTTTTCTATTCAACGACAGAAATTCGCCAGTTATTTCGACGAACTACATCGTAACACAGCGTGGTAAAGCGCGAATCGCTGACACCGAGAGGTCGAAAGTAGGTACCTCGTAATTGTGATTGCAGAACTACTATGTGCATCCGGTGCCTGCATTTTCCGGGCCCGGAAACGGGCGTGAAACGTGACGACAGAAGAGGATCATTCGTGGAACGAGCGAGAGAAAAAGTCTCGTTTTTACGCTCTTTAACAATGGGATGATCTGACCCCCAGTTTATTAAAGAAAAAAGAGGAGAGAAAAATGAATTGTAACAAATTTTAATTAATTGACAATAATTATGCTCAACCGTTTCAAGAAAAATGCTTCAATATAATGAAATATTTTCAGTGTTGAATAACAAAAAGTTCCTTTAATTTCTTTGCCAAAAGAAAAGGGAGTAAATTACTAAAAATTTTATAATTACAACAAATTACGTTCAAAGATAATTTAAAATTTAAAAAAATATCTGGTGTCTATGAAATTGAAAATAAACCTTGTTTTAGTTGCAATCCTATCCATCATTCTCACAACTTCATCCAGGTGTTGAAATAATAACAGCAAAATCCAGCAAATCTCGAAGATTCTCAAGATTGTAGGGAACGAAATTGAACAGAAGGGTGGATGGTGAGAATCGAGGTAAAATTAATTCAGTACCTTTCGAGAATGACCGACCCGATTAGACTTCGACGAAGGGACAAGTGCTATTAGAACACCTGTGATTCGACGTTCTTTCATGATTTGTCGAACAAGAGAACAAAACCATTGGTAGAAGCTTCGTGAACGATTGAATACGACGTCTTAATATTCTTTTTTGGACCTACTAAGTTAGCACTTCGAAGTGTCTGAAATAGTTTCAGAGTAAATACTATAATTTAAAGATGGATAAATCTATTACAAATTACGGAGTTCGAATTTACCATTTAAAAACATTTTCTAACTCTGAAAGTTACTAACCGAACTGTAATTGATATACCATAGAACAGATAAAAATGAAATAAAAATATAAAAATTACTAAAATAGCTGACAGTGATCGTCAACGTATTAACAAATAGACCTAGATAGGCGATCTATGTACTTAATCCTCGAACGGCGGACCATGGAGAGAGCCACAATTTTAATCTAATTTTCTATTGCATATTATTTTCATTTTCTAAATTTTACATTATTCCTTTACATTATTCCTTTAAAAATTATCCTTCCAATCCGCTGATCAAGGGTTAAATTATAAATCCCTATCTAATTTAAAAATAAAAATAAAAGATATACGTGTCAACATAATGAACGGCCGAAATCAATCAACTCTAAAAGTGACAATTTATCTCCTTAATTGTCAGCTGGCTTAAGCTGAAATCCTTTATCCTTGTATTTCCAAGGAAACTAAAATCGTACGGTTAAATTCCTACCACCGACAGATGCATTCAGAACGATGCACGTTATCACGGACAAAAGCGTCACATCGAAAATACGGGCTCTACTACTCACCTTGGGTTTCCACGAAGAGCGGCATGGTGCAGAGCGTTGAATCCATTGTTGTTCGTGAGGGTGATGTCTGCGGCATGGTCCAACAACAGAGCCAACATGTCATCCCGTTTCTTAGAGATCGCATCGTGAAGAGGTGTGTCACCTTCCGAGTCCTGGAAACGAGGAAACAGGTTTTTCTTAGCGATGTGCCTCACCTTTACCTTTTCCATTAGAAACCGATTACCGCCAACAAAAGCTACACTTTTCTGTTTCACCGATTTCTTTGTAACAATAGCTACTTGAATTTTACAGAAGAACAGTACAGTCTGCGCTCGAAAGCTTCGTAAATTGGAAAGACTTTCTTTTTCTTTAAGCTACGTTCTTTCATTGAAAATCAAAATATATTTATTCAACAACAGGCAAATCCAAGATCGAAGTTATTGAAAGGAAATGAAAGCAATGGAATGGAAGTCTGCTTATTTTTATTACTTGATTATTAAAATTATTCTTTTTTAAATAAGTCGACCTGAAACGAGCAAACCATGAAATCGTATGAAAATTATTTCCTATAATAAGCGTTCCTTTCAACAATCTTCTATTCTCGAACAGCAATTAAATTTAAATCAGATTAAGTCTTATAATCTTCTAGGCTGCTATAGTTAAGCTCAATCTCTTCTTGCTACGTCAGAAAATTGAGAAGATAAATGAGAAAGAATATTGAAGTTTTTATAAGCACTCGAGCTTTAAATTTCAACGAATATGATGAGAGTCAATATAAAAAGATATTTCTTAACTCTAGTTTACGATATTATAAGAGAAAGAAAATTGAGAGCCTAAATTAACACCTCTACATCTGAAACTTGTGACATGTCTGACCATACATTGACCACTTTCACTGTGACGGTAAACATATTAAAGTAGAAAAGTAACGGTGAAGTTGTATGAAATAAACGGAGCACACAATTCACAGAAACGGGTCGTTGTAACCCGCTTTCGACTAGCACTATCTATGGACCCAAATTGCCGATAAAACGAACTGTAACAGTGGCTATCCATTAATAGCAAGCTGCGCCGTTCGTTAGCTACGAGCGACAGAACAAACGAATGCAGAAACAAAGAGTCCAGCCTCTGAAACGACGTGACATGCGACATTGCTTCCGAAATAGCGCACGCGAGCCCAAAAATAGACAAATAGTAGAGAATGTGGTAGATGAAACGACAGATTTACGGGTAACTGCATTTAACAGGACAACAGAGCGAGGATTACGCCAGATGAATAAAGAGACAATTCGTTTCACTGACTTTACAGAAAATTCTAAATAGGATTAATATTTTATCAATTTTGTAAAGTAATCAATGAAAGGCTAGAGAAATTAATAGGTTACCTAAAAAGTCTTGTGAATTTATTTTTTAACCCTTGAACAGCGGAGCCTCAAATTTACGAATAATATACAAGTATATTAACTAAAAAGAACAATGTACAATTTAGAAAATGAAAATAATATGCCCTTTCCCTGGTCCGCCGTCGAGGATTAAGAAAATAATAGAAAATTTCTAATATTTTAGAAAATTCTGTCATATGGAAACACAAATAGATTCTCAAGGCATTGAAAGTTGTTAGTTAAAAATAAAAATATAAATTTCATAAGAGGTATTTCATTCACGAAACTTTCTAGACAACCTGATATCTATGATGACTATTATAATTCTAATCCAAGTAGATCAATCACTTTCCACTGTTTAAAGAAAGACACAGGCGTGCGGGTAAGAAAAATTCAGCCAAGAGGGTGGTCGGTGGCATCAGGCTCGGCTGCGTAAATAATAGGGCATCAGGCACAGATACTTTATGGGATCAGTTGGAAAAATCCTTTGTATAACTCCAATAACCGTGAAGGATAAATCTGCCGGCGCTGTCGAGAACCGGCGGCGCTATCTCGCGCTATAAATGCTGGTCATGTGTCACGCCACTAGGTTGAGGGTGAAAGACCAACAGAGAAACAGAGGAAGAAGATCAACGGAGAAAAAGAGAAGGTCTAAGAGAGCGAGGTTGAAAGCGCGCACGAAGAAGAACCGTGAAGAGGAAAAGAGGAAAAAGAGTTGGAGAAGGGTTGCGAAAGAGAAACGACCAGAGAAGATAATAAAAGAGGTGGGACAAGATGGTAAAGGTGAATGAGAATAGTGGAGGGCAAAGGTCGCACGACAGCCATGGGACCCTGTCTTATTTACCTGATCACACGAACCTCGCCATTATTCTCGCCGACCTTATCGAGCTCGAGAACCTGGTGCACCTTCGTTTCTGCTTCCATAAACTGCAATCAACGGATCGCCAACGGAATTAACGAGCGCAAAGGACAGGGTCCTCCGGAAACAATCGCGTACGCGAGTAAACCATGAATCTGGGTCCTTTGATGTTTTCTGGGTCAATGCTTTCTAAAGTGAGAATTTACTTCTCATTTCTGTCGGTTCTTCTAGGGGGAAGAATAGATTTATTTTATGGTTTAGAGATGGTAATTATTTTAAACAGAAAATTTTCATTTTAGAAAAGTGAATGTTGGTGCGAAAGAAATGGTAACACCTTCGCCTAAGGGTCGAGTCGGGGCGAATCGGATGCTTGGAACACTATTGCAATCTGCACCTGGTGCGGTTCCAGGCATTGATTATAAATTCAAGGTACTGGGTCATGTTAACCCCTTTTTGAGAAGGGGTTAATATAAAGCGGTAAAATACAAAGATCCCGGAGCCACCCCCAAATACCTGAGGGTGGCCGCCGTGGAGTTTCAATGACTAAGAACCTCACACTGTCCATCGCCTTTCCACTAGGGAGTAATGAGCGTCTATGAAAATTTCTACGCTTAAAAAAAAAGGGGAGAGGTCGATCGGGTCGGTATTGTTTGAGTCGAGTACCAGAAATTTTCAGATGCCTATACTAATTATCTTGATATGTATGTAACTCCTTTAGATATTTTTCCAATATATGACACCCTTCCCAGATCCTGACTCAACCCAATATTTTCGGGTTCTTGCACACCTCTATTAATATCCAAGGTTTGCTTTTTCTTCCCTTTTCCTAGCAATTCAATTACATCCATTTTAAGGCTCCGACCACCGCTGACATCACGTCAATCAATATATTAATAAAACGGCGATCTTCAAATCTCTAATACTTGAAGATCTTCCAATTTCGTCTAGAATCTTACATGCAAGAATTTCCTTACAGAAGGAAGACAAAGTTGCGCAAAAAATGAGGAAATCAGCAAAGCTCGACTACGCGTTTCAATTTTATGACAGCGCATTCCTCCAACCCCCCCGTTCTCGTTCCACGTCGTTTCTTTCACTAGAAGCAGAAGAGCGCAACCCTTACGTTATCACGATCCACCTTGCTCATCCCTTTCGTTCTAGTTTAACAAACGACCCCCAATTTCTATTCTATCCAACCTTCTATGCGAGCAACTTTCGAAAAAGCTTAATTCCAGTATTTTCTCCATCGATTTTTCCGTTCGTTCCGTTTCATTGACCATCATCCACGTGGCGAGATCGTCTTCGTTCTCTCCGAGCACACGAATCGTTCTTATCGACGACAAATGCTGCAAGATTTGTCAGCTATAAGAAGCACAAACGATTCAACCACCAGGTTTTATCGCAATTCTCTATCATTCTACCCGCTAAATAACAGATTTCGAAGGTTTACTCCGTTTCCTCGAAGAAGCTCGTTCTCCTCTTCGATCGGTTTAATAAGTTTGCTCGTAAGAACGGTGTGGTTATGACTACCATTATGGTAATTGGTACTGAAAAGTCGATAGAACCAGGAATTTCGTAGCATCGTTTAAAATGATCGTTAATAATGTTCAATGTAATTGCGAGGAAAGTTCTTGCAATTTTCAGTTCGAAAATTCAAAATTTAAGGCTGTAAATTGAAATGTACCTACATAGAAAATGATAAAGAATAATAACGTGAAAATTTTGCAAAATGAAACTACTCAATGGATTATACCAATTTTTATAGTAAATTATAATACTAACGATTTAAGAATTGAGATTCTTTCCTTCGCAACGACCACCCTAAAATTAATGTCAAATTTTTTTCTGGACCCTCTAATTTTGCTCTCGAGCGTAGTTATCACAGTAGAAATGGAAGACGAGGAGAATTGTATGAGAGTAATACCGTGTAAATATTTGGCACGAGCAACTTAGCCGTTTTAACGTGTTCAGCAGGAAACTGTCGTCGCGGAAATGTCTGATTGGACTGCGATCAAACGTTAAAACGGTCGCAGACCGGGAGGCGCCGTATCAAGGAAACGAGTGGATAAAATGAGAAAAGACAACAGCAACAACAACACGGCAATCTGGTCACGGAAGTGTGGATTACAATCAGTGGCAGTGTCGAGAAGTCAGCGAGAAGCGAAATAACGGGGACGACAAGTCGAAGCGGCTTGATTGCACCGCAAATATTGACGCGGCTAATTCTACCTTAACCCGTTTACCTATCGAAAGTGACAGGCTACACTAATGAGAGCTTTAAGATGTCGCCAAGATGGTAAGGAAATTCTAATTCCTTCAGTCTTGTCCGTTGAGAATTAAGACGTTGGAAGAATTCGAAGATTTTAATCAAATTGGTCGCAAAAATAAAATCAATAAAAATCAATGAAATTATTATATTTCCATTTTAGGTCAAATTAATCCAAATGATGCACAAGGGTTAAAAGTAGCAGTGGCCCTTATAATTTTACATAACAACGTTTGCCTTACATGAAAAAAGAAATAATGAAAAATGAAAATTTAACTTCAGTACGTAAATCACCTAACATAAAAAATCCTGCAAATCGAAAAAACAACCAGATACGCGATTTACAATCGCCGTCTGGGGAAGATGAAAGAGGTATGCGCACATAATTAACATAATTATCGTTAGTGCAATCAAAAGAAATCCCCTTAAGCCGGAAGCACCGGTCCAATTCCCGGCCGTCCAAACAGCCATCGCTAACGGTAAGCCAAGAGGATGCTTATCCCGCCGGTTCAAACTTAAAACCTCTTTTCTCCCATGATTCTTATCAATCCTAACGCCACACACACTCGCAGACGGAAATCCGGGAATAATCCGGCGCCGTACATCGGTTAAGCTCAACCGCTATTTTACAGGGGCGATCAATAGCGATTTCGACGAAGATACAGGGCC